GAATAAGACGGGAACGTCACAGGGGTGCTTTAAAGTTGGGGCGGAAAAACGAGCCACTTTAATTTATTGGCTTTGGCACAAACGCGGAGACGATTTTCTCCCAGAGATTTACAAATTCACCCCAAGAGATGGAAGGTTTAAATAAGATGCAAGTTACAACTTGAATAAAAGTTAGAAATTTTGCAAATTTTGAATATTTTTCAAATTTGAAATTTATTATATTTAAAAAAATATTATTTTTTTATAAAAAAAAAAATCATATTTAATTTTAAATCGTTTTTGAAGTGTTTGCCGCAATTAATTAAACGAAATTCAAGATTTTTTCTTGTTGTAAAATCAATTTGATTAATTTTTGGTGATTTTCATAAATTATTTAAACCTTCCCGCGAATTTAAAATCACGCATTTTGTGAATGTTCCATCACAATGATTGTCATTCAATTATTTTTCCAGTTATATGAGTTTGGTGACCACAACGGAGGCGGTGTTTTGGAGGCAGTGTGGGGGTGGACAGTGGTTAAATCGCGTACCTGGAGTAGCGGGAACCGCTCTCGTCGCCGAACCCGTAGAGGACTGCGGCCATATCTAAGTTCGCTCATGAGTGTTGGACGCGGACCCCGCGGCCCCCGGCCGGAGGCATGTCCTCCTCCATGCGGGTGTGGGAACAGCACTACCGAGCCGCGGCGGGCCGTCGGGGGCGGACGGGTGACCGGCCCCCTGCCGGCCGCCAGCCCAAACTCGGGCGCTGCTTTGGTGGCGCGCCGTCGAGGTCGCTTTAAAGTTCCCCGCTCTTTCAATTCCGCCGTCCCATTTATTCAATCTGCGCCCTTTCCTTCACGCTCGGCTGCGAGAAGAGAGCCGGGCCGTGGATTTCGGTTCCTTGTCACGTCGGGTTACGGATTTCGCGCCCAAGGACGCCGAGCAGTTTTGAGCCATTTGAAATATTGATAGATTAATTTTTTTACAGTGTACTTTTCCAAATTCAATTATATTGTTCTATGACGATGCAACAATCATTTTAATTTTTGAGAAAAATTTCTCAATCCTCTGAATTTATTTCAAACTATTTGGTTAAATATTTAATTGAAACAAAATTACAGTCTTTTAGTTCAAAGCATAAACTTTTTACGAAAAGATAGTTGATATTCATAAAGATTGTCATTGGGCCCTGAAAAGGAAAATCTATTGCAATCCAGTTTCAATTCATGCGTTTGTTATTAAAAATTTTAATCATTTTTTGTTAATTTTAACTAAAGGCAATTAATTAGGGGAGAGTTAATTAAATGGATAAAATGAGTATGCTGAGTATGAATATGGAATTCCAAAGTAATGAAATGAAATTCAATGGAAATTAACAGTCACTAAATAGGCTTCTTGCCAAGCACTTGGGGTACGCGGGTTGCATACTTCAACAAAAGCAGTCTTGTAAAGCTTATCACGACATTCGACCTAAATAAAGTGCCAAATTGTTAACTTTTAGTCGTGTGTGCAGAACGGAAATATTCTTCAAATTTTTAAATGACCGTCATGTCTTTTAAATCGTAATATAAATAAACCGAATATCATTACATTCAAGTTAAAATTGCGGCAATTTTAAAGCTCTTGGGTGGCAGTTAAGGACAAATTTTACGATTCTTTTGATTTATGGCCATTTTAACATCAATTATATCACTGCTTGTTTCACGTTTGTTTACGAAGAGCTCTGCAGTGAAATCAATATAAATAGTTCATATGTTTGTAAATAAGTAGGGTAAAATCGTCTGGCCTTTTAAGATGTCACATCATTTTATAAAGTTTATCATTTATTTACATCGGATTTGATTTATTTGAATCAAAAAAACTAATTTATAAAGTTAATAACAGCACATACGTTTCTACTCAGAAGAATATTTGTATTTAAAATTTAAATAACTGAAGGTCAATTGAACAATAAAAATTATAATAATTTAAAATATAAATAAAAACAATAACAATAATTTAATCTTAATTAATTGAAAATTAAAACAAGGAGACTAAATTTTGAACAAAATTAATGGCAAACTTGTTCATATAAACTGTACTTACAACAATAAAATTTTTAAAAATTATAAATAGTGTAATTAATTTCAAGCAAAAAATTGCAAATTGATACAAAATTCATTTTTGTATATTTCTGATTATTTTTATTCGCAACGTGTAGTTTATTGTTCTTTCACTAGCGCATCACTATCGATCTGCTTTCTATTTTTCTTTACTTTCGGTTCAGGCTGGCGAAATAAATAAATGCACACACGGCACAAAGGTGGGGCTGTTATTAAAAACGGGCGCCACAATAACATAATATTGCCTCACGTGAGTTTATGTGTGTGTTTCTCGTTTGGAATAAAGTACGCCACTAAATGTGCCCGAGAGCGCGCGGCGAGATCAGAGGTATAAAGAGAGCGCGGTCGCAGTTCCTCTCCAGTGCAATATGCTTCGCTTTGCGCACTGCAGACTAACCACGTGTTCGCCACGTGACGTCACAACACCAGCAGCACCAGCGAAACCTAGTCGCTGTTAATGCCTGCTCGGTGCACTAAATTTTTATGCTAGTTTTAATCTTGCAGAGTTTTAATGCGTTAAACGAGAATGTTGTAAATTTCAGTGTACTAAAAATAAGCCTGCCAAGTTCATATTTTAAAAAAATAGCGCGTTTAAGGTCATGTTCCAAATTTTTAACTTCCCAGATCTATTAATTATTATTTATTAATCACTGTTAGAAAAGAATATTTAATTATGTGTATTGTATTAATGTGCAAATAATTGTGGGGATAATAAATTAATTAATAATTAAATAATATTCAAATAAAATATTTTTTATTGTGATTTTCTTTCTTGAATTCATTAGTACCAAATGATTTACTGCTCAAAATTCCTATTCAAGTTAATAACAAAAAATCTCTTGCAAGTATGGACGCTGTGAAAAGTAATTTTTTTAATATTTAATTTTTATAATAAACTATTGTTTGCTATTTTTATATTTTCCATTATTAACTTATAGAAAGAAAAGCTTCTTTGTTAAGGACTTAATATGGTTGCTTAAATATTTACACTGAATTTGTCATGTCGATTTACACATGTTAGTCTACAAGCTAAAGATAATGAAGTCAGTCGTCGTATTAGCATGTTTTCCTAATCCTCCTTGTGACCAGGCCGCTCTGACCCTTTTGTATCGAACGCGCGCGTCCTTAATCGCATCTTCGCCCACTTCTACTGCTTATTACTCTAAGCAAATTCGGCTCGGCCCTCGCAAAATATGGCGCAACTTAAGCCGCCTGGGCACGCACTTGTCACGACTTGTGCGGCTTCTGTTCCGCCTTAAATACCCTCACATCTCACATTGTTTTCCCACCGCAGTGCATAGCTTCGTTGGAGGGAATTATTCGGAAAAAAATTCAAGCTAACGATTTATGTAATAATTAATGCGTATGCGGTTTTCAATTAAAGTTCAACAAATAAAATTTTGGACAAGTAACTTATAAGAGACGAGCTTGTAATTTAATTTTTTTTAGACTCGATCAATTTGCTACTAGCGTACCTCTTTTTGAAATTCCCCTTCATGTAACTGTTGATGAAGGTATTGCCGAAATAATCCGTCATGGCAAACATTTTGGAACGATGGCCACTGCCCGCCCGCGCCCCGATGTAAAGTGAGGCCGGGAATGTGTGAAAAGTGAAAAAAGGTCAGCTTTGGGCCACTTGCGAGGCTTCAACTGCGTATCTTAAGGTGCGCAAAAGAACTTTCGGCAATTCTTTTTGGCTGCTCAATTTCTTGGAATCCCCATAATTATTTTCACAGTTAATTGTTTTGCTAATTACCTTTTTGGTACTTAAAATTAAAGGTCAGTAATTACCTATATAAAATAGCTGAAGCCTTAATTGCTTTAAAGATTATTTTAGAGAATTTAAATACTTTGGACGCAATGAAAAAAAAATTAATCCTGCCTTTAAAATTCAAATTTGGAGTGCAACAAACTCTTTATTTACAAATCAACCATTTTTTTATTATAAATAAAGGGATAGATGATATCGATTCTTCATTTTATATGGAAATATTTAAACAAATTAAGCTTTGAAGGTGCAACGTTAAATATTAAATAAGAAGCAAGTGTTGAAAGCGCACGTAAAAGCAAATTTTATTTCCGCCTCCCTTGCAGCCGTCACCAGGCAGGGAGGGTTTCAATCGTTCAGCTTTATAGGCCGAGTGCGAAATTCTGCTGCATTGCTTAGGCTGGTCCTAATATATGTCTCTCGTCTGTTGTCTCTGGCGGGCGATTTGAAATTGCATTGCGGCAGTCCTGTCGGCCGGGTCGATAGGTGCGGATGTTGTGCGTGTGCGAGAAGTGCGAGAGTGCTCTGTCGTGCCGGCTGCATAACCAAGCCATTCACTTTCTTTTTCTCCAACAGCTCTCATGAGTTGTGTGTTTTTCACTGCTCCTATAGGCAGATCGCATCTCGGGCCGACTGCCACGCTGGATTTGCACCCCGCACGCACGCAATTCCGATTCTGATCTGTCCGCAATCCGACCAGTCAAATATTTGGAACACAAAACCCCGGAAGAAAATAAACTGTATAGCAAGAAAAGCCAATTTGAACTGTGCCAAAACTAAAGTTTCAAATTCAACATAATAAAATTTTCTCTCATAGTTTTTTTTTTATATTGTTTCATAAGATGAACTTCTAGTATCTGCTAATTTTTTTCATAAAAAACCAATAAAATTGAAAAATTTCAAATCTTCCTGATTCATTTTTAATTTTTTTCCTTTAGCAAAATTAATGAATATTATAAAAATTTATTCCAATGATATGGATATTGAATTTTTAAGTTATAAACAAAATTTATTTCAGCGGTAAACAGCCCTTTGACCATAAGCATTGCAGTGCGAGCGTGGCGGCAAATTGATTGGTGCTGTGCGGAAAATTTCTAAAATTGTTTTCATATCATCAGTGAGGTGAGACTGTCTGCATCTGACTGTCCAAACCTGTAGGGCGACGAGTTCTGCTTCTTTTTCCGCAGAGGCCTGCGGGCCTGCTGGTCCATTTCCGTGGATCGGCGGGGCATCGGGCTCACCAGGGTAAGGTCGGGCTCGAGCTCAGCGAAACTGCATTGCGAGGTGTTGCGCGGTGGGGTGTCCAATCGCCCGGACCCACCCATCCAAACTCACTGGCTCCTCGCACGGACACAACTGTCGGACAGTGCGAAACTCTTACGTCGCCCAGCGAAGCAGAATTTTTTGCCCCCCGACCGCCACCAGGGATTATTTGGAACGTGAAGCAGGATAAATTAATATTAATTACTTAGTTTTGGCAACAAAAACTTCATTAATTTAAGAAACACTTGCACATATTAAGTAGTCAAATCAAGTCTTTACATCAATGGGAGTATTTTTTTTTTTGGTAATTTTTTATAAATAAATGGAAATTTTAACAACCATTGAGGTGCTTAACAATAAAATTTTTATGTGTCTCTAATTAATTCCAAAAAATAATTAGTAATAATAATAATTTGTCTATATGTATAATTGAGGGATACTTGATTTTTCTGTCAATTTCAAATGAAAATTAAAAATACCGCGGTAGTTAATAATTATTACAATTATTACCTGCACACACTTCAATTCATTCAATAACAAAATAGGATAGGATAATTTAGCCGAATTTAATTTAAAAATCTAAATTTAATTGAGGAAAATATCTTTTTTAATTAACTCATAAGTATAAATCAACAGGAGTAATGCAGATGTCGAGCTTGACAGGCTACGGCTGGCATTAGTGTTAAAAGGCCTTTGGATTTGGATCACGGCCCGATAGAATCTACGAATAATGCGGCGGCTCAAGACAAACGTCGCATTTCGAGTCTCTCCTTCTCCGGGTACGAACGCGTGTCACACAAAATTGGCCTAATTGCCCATGCAAATTGAAAGAAAGCATAGTTGTGGATAAAAATGGCGTCCGTCTCGCGTGCCTAGGCTGGCTTATTGCGGATGATTTACTCGTGTCTGCGCGACTCGTGTGTCAACATAGGCCTTTTTTCACCTTGACTGCCGCTGCCTGCAATGCTCTGTTTTATATCTGAATGCGGTATTTTTGTAAGAAAGGGACACAAGAAGTTTCGGGACACTCGCCAAATAAATCAAGAAAAAGTTGCCAAACGAATTATTATTATTATATTGCCTGCGCATTTTTAAAAAGTCCGCAATGTGAAAAACGTACGTCGAGTGCGCGCGTTCTGGGAATTTTTTTTGTCACGTGCTCGATTATTTTATAATATACAGAGAGGTAGGGAGGGAAAAAGAGATCTGGCGGCCGATTGTGGGCCCGGCTGTTTTCTCACTCGCACCCACATGGCCAACCGTACGGAAAATCCAGCCAGCTTGGAATAATAACAATTGAACCGCCGCGGCTCCCGTGCAAACGCGCCGATCTAATTAATTTTCGCGTGCGCAGATTTATGCTGGCTGCGAGTGGAATTAAAGCACGGAAGATCAATACTCCCGAGAAATGGCATTGAGGAAAATTTCACTAGGTTAAATAACAAGCAGGAAGGAAATTTTTTGATAATAATAAAGGGTGCCTTGGAATTAAAATTAATGAATAATTAAAATAGTTGTACGAAGAATAATATTGCAGTAATTAAATTTTAATGTTGAACTTAATTTGTATAATTTGAACTGAATGCCTAATTTTTTAAAAGATAATTGCTTTGAAAAATTTAAAATGATAAAAAAAAATTGATTTCAAATTAAGAAATTTAAGACAAAAATCTACGCTATTAAAATGAAAACCCCTGATAATTGAACAGTTTAAAAAAAATAATTACAATTAAACTTACTCAATAAATATCTTAATTCAGCCAATTTCTAAAATTGCTAATTCAAAACTCCGAATTTAATCTTCTATTAAATTTTGTAAATTTTAATGAATTAAATGAAAATCATAAAAGCCCTGGATTTTGAGATCGGAAAAATAATTAAAATCATCAGAGAGAGTTTCAAAATGGAACAAATTTGTGCCAAAGCCAAGTGGAAAGTGTGTCAGTGCGAGTGAAAATTCGGCCGGAAATGCCTGGGGGCGGCAGTGGAGGCCTGACGGGCGACCCGGGGGCGGCGGAGGGCTGCAGGTACCGAGGCGGCGGCTGAGACACCATGGTCCACTCTGGTGCACCACACTGCACAACCAACACACGAGCAACGTGGCGTGCCAATCGATAAGGGTGGGGTTGTGCCAAGCACGGGGGTGACCAACCCCTAATTAGCCATGTGCGCCCCCTCGGAAGGACGGACGCGCCCCGGGGACGACACCCCTTCCATCTTTCGCACACGCCGTCGCAGCTGACGGGCGAGCGAGGAGAGGAAAACGCGTGCGGGGGTGTCTCTCATCCTCAGGTGGTTGCGTCGGGAGTTCAAGTCACCCTCTGTGGCTGCAGCGTCGAGGGATGGGGCGTGCTGATGGGTGCGAATGAACACTACAGGCTGGTGGTGATTTTTGCAATGATTTTTTTCTTCCTAATTTTTTTATTAATTTAATTTGATTGTTTCCTTAAGTGTCAATTCCTTAAAGTGAATCAATTTTATTTAATTACACCCAATAATAAAATGAACAAAATTATCATAAACAAGAATAAACGACGCGGCTTCTTTTACCCCACTAAGTGAATTGAGCTAAATTCCACATTGGCTACGTCAACCGTATCGTTGCAGAATACTGCAATGAGAAGGAATATTCTCATTTGCATTGAAAGAAATTTGATTGTTTCGGATTGTTTTTTTAATTTAAAACAAACAATTTTCAGTATTTTTAAATTATTTTGAAAAAATTTCTAAATTACAACAATAAAAGAAGTAAATAATTGCAATTAATAATAATAAATAATGAATACCAATAATTGTTATTCAATAAAATGTAAAAGTATTTAAGAGACGATGTTTAAATAAATTAAATAAATAATTAAAAAAACATCTGATTGTAAAAATAAAAAACAAATGATTAACATTTGATTACGGAAAAATTACATTATGATAAAAACCAAGAAATCCCCAATAAATTTTATTCGAAAAATTTCAATTTGTGACCTTATACAAGGGGAGAGTATTGTCTTAGGGTCAAGGTCAACCCAAGAATTAAAAGTGAAATCCATACTTATTAATTTAAGGTCAAGGCGTAATTTATAAAAGTCTAATTTTCAAGTTCGGAACAATTGATAAGAATAAAACTCAACTTACTTTTCTTTTTTCTTTCGGCGTTTCATGGGCTGCGACCCCTGCTGGACCGCGTACATTTTTCCCAAAAGGAATCGCGCCCCCAACCCAACGAACCCGGCTCGCTTGTCTATCGATACTGACCGCTTCAATTTTTCACGCAAATATCCACCATAAGTCTTCCAAATCCATTTAAGCCGCGAGAGTATAACGATCGAAATATTCATGTCACTTGTGCACTGTGGCGTTTGAAAAGTGCTTACTCAGTTTGAAAAAAAAGAGAATATTTATTTATTATTATTTTATATAGAAATTTCCCAATTTGGTATACGAATAGAAAAACATCGCAATCCTTTGGCCTGTTTTTTTCTCTCCAAACGTCACTGCTGATCCAGATATTGTGTGCGTTTTCTAATAATAGAAGTCGGAGCTTAATTGAAGTGTCATTAGGATGAAGGCCAAAACACACTAGGCGCGCGTCTTTCCTTTGAGCAGTTGTAAAAAAGCTCTCTATCCGAAAAACGGTTTCAGATGTGTAGCGGATCCAATCAGACTGAATGTATAAAGATGTCAGAGGCAAAGGCTTTTTTGATGTGTGTTCTAATAAAAGAGTGGCCTTCATTATGTATTCTGGAGCAGCACTTTAATAATAACTCGACACCTTCTGGCACTAGACCAGTCCATCTGAGCGAGCTGAAGGCAACCATCAACTGATGACGCCTGTTTGCGCTTCCAGTGACGACACAGCAGCTCAGTCGTTTCGCCCCATTTGAAGCCGATTATTTTAATATTCGGCGCTCCTCCCTTGATTGTGTATAATTATTTTTGGTTCTCGCACCTCTCTGCCAGCTCGAATGCTGCTGATAAAATTTTTTCAAGAGGATCAATAAACAGAAGTGCAAGAAGTGATCGTTCAATTATAAAGCTGTCAAGAACTTGTTATTTTATTTATTATTGCTTGGAATTTTTCTGAACCTAATAACCACTTATATTAATTAAAAGCTGCACTTCATATTTAATTTTTTGCGTACTGTATTCGCCCTAATAAATTCCAATAAAAACAAAAACAAATCAGCAGTCTTGAGCAAAATATTAAAGCCTTTGAGCACATTAACTACTGTTAATTTGATAATAATGTATACAAAGTTGCATTAAAATCATTAAAATATCCTTAATTATGTCTACATACTTCCAAATTTATTGAATTAATGAAAATAAAATTTGAGCTCTATGATTTCCAATATAGTTTGAAAATGTTAAATAATTAGTACAGGAGTTTCGTTTTTAACTTACCCTTGTGTATCACAGTGTATCACTTTAATTATCTAAAAATAATCTTATTTTTTAATCCAAACGCTTTTTGCTTAATTGGTCACTCAAAAAAATTAAAATTCTCAATTTGATCCGCGTTTTTGGCCGAGTAAATCAAGTAATTCAGGCTTAATTATCAGCCTCGAGAAGGGAACTTACTTTTTCTGCCGACAAGTCTGACTGGCTTACGAGCTGCTCTACCGTGTCCGTCTTCGTTTTGCATTTTGGCCTCTATTCGGGCCAAATTCGGCTCAATCTTGACCCCCCGGCGAGACACGATGCACTTTGTCAACATGGCTGCATTTTGTAAACTCAACTCAGAGTTTCTCTCTGGGAGCAACTGGCTGTGACGTCACTCTTACCCAGGAGGTTTACAAACGCCACAGACTATGTAACTAAAATACCGCTAAATAACTCCGCTCCTAATAAAGTGATAAAGATTTTTTCAAAAAGAAAAAAAATAAACGTTTTGTCGATTCATCAGCTATCAATGCTGAAAATATGAATATTTTATATAAGACAGTTTTTAATTGGCGCCGATCTCAATGAAACGGAGCGAGCGCTTTTTAATTTTCCTTCCTTCCTCTCGCTGTGCGTCTCTCGCCGCCGTCCAGACTTGTTCGCTCTCGTTCAAGGATGGAGAATTGCAGAGCAGCAGCGGCCGCAAGCCAGCAGGA